CATGACGCTGTCTGCATTTCCTGGAACTGGAAGCCAAAATAAGCCCTTCCTTAAGTTGCTTTTATCAGATGTTCTGTCTCAGCAGCAAGACAAGCAACTGGGGTGAATACCGTCACATCATATACATGCATGGAAAAGACATAAAGAAACCATTGTTATGCATTATAATATGAACCAATAAAAAGTATTAAAATTAATAAAGGTAACAGTAAAAGGATGAAATTAAGGAAGGGGCAAAGAACAGGGAAAGATGAAACAAGGTTAAGTGAAGATATGAGAAAGGCTATAAATATGAAGTAAAAATTTAAAGTCTGTAAGTAAAGGTATGTAAGTAAAAGAGGAACAAAAAAATAAATATCAATAAAATAAAGTAGAAATATAATATAGTAAAAAGGAAAAAAGTGTGTGTGGAGGAGATCAAGAGACTTTCTTCAGGGTTCTTAGTACTGGAATCTGCCAGGTGGAGGGGGGGCGGTGAATCAGTACTGAGGCCTGTTGAAAGCCTGTAGTTTGTTTATGCAGGGGGTTCTGCCTCAGTCAAGGGTGGGCTGTGAGCTTTCCCTTTGTGTCCTGACAGCTGCTGCTGGCCAAAGTATGCTTTGTGGCCTGTGGGCTGGGCAGCTTCCCAACCCATAGACGCCCACCCCTTAAGTTTGTACATCCAGAAATGACAGGGATGTCCCCGGAGTGACTCAGAGTGTGGAATCGAGGAGTGCTTGATTTCTGCACGGGGTGGGGATGACAAACTGTCTGCCTGGTTCCGGGCATGCAGCCCCAGCCCAGCCGCACACCTCCCTCTTGGAAGTTATCTGCCAGCTCTAGGCTCCCGGCGCTTTGTTTCTTTATGCAGCAAACCAGAGGCAACTCCAGAGGCCAAGGAATCCGCCAGCCAGGACTTGGATCTCTCTGTGTCTTTGCAGGGATCCGCTGGCTGTGGGGCCCCGGCTCCTAGCACTCAGGGAGGGGGTGCCCCCGCTGAGTTCCCGCCCCTAAAACCTCCCAGCCAGCCCACGTCCGACCCTCCCTCTTTGCAGCTGCGTCTGGTAGCGGTCTGCCACTCTGGCTCTCTGGCAGAGTGGCCCCATGCTCTCTGACTTGCGACTGACTGTTCCTTGTTCTCTGAGTCCCAGAGTAGCCTAGTCTCAAACAATAGGTCTTTTCTCGGCTAGGCATCTGGTATAGCACTCCTGAAGCACTGGGCTGGGAAGGGGTTTGGATGCGGGGATTGGATGCAAGATTTCTTTTCCGCAGCTAACGGGCCCCACCGGAGGAGGCGTTATCTCCCCTCCCCCCGACTGGATTAAGGCTTGCGAATACTGTGGGTTTATCCTGCAGCTGGGGCTGCCAGTCTTTTGTCACCAAGGCTGACAGGCTTACGAGTGGTTGGGGCTCCAGCTCTTCTTTCCCGGTGCAGGGATTGGGACTGCAGATAGCTTTCGCTTGCCCTTGCTTTAGCCTTTCTATTTCCCCATCCTTTTTCATCTATCCTGTCACCTCTTTCTGATGCTCTTTCTTTCTTTCTTTCTGTCCCGGGAATATGGTCTGTTCTTTGTTACCCTGACTCTTCTATCTCGGAGTTGAATGGAGGAAGCGTCCAATCCGCCATCTTACCCCAGAAAGCAAATATTTTCTCTTCTGATACAGTGGGGAAGTGGGTATGTGGAGTGGGGAGAGGCGGAGACTATGAAGAGGACGAGGTAGTATCAGTGGGACACCAAGTTGCTGCTGGAGAGATGTTTTCCACATCCTTCAGTTTCAGATGCGATTGCCCTAATTAGGTAATTTCTGCTGCCTGGCTGGAACACCCAGGCTAGATCCCCAATTCCCGCAATTTGCAAATACATAGGGGGGTGTGGGGTTACTGGGTTTTTCTTTGCTTTACTATCTGGGTAGGATCCTGTAGGTTTAGATAGTATTTTTCCACACACATATTTTTTTTCATTAGTTTAGTCACGTGGCTTTTTTTTTAACTAACACTCATATTGTACACGGATATCTGAAGCACACTCCATAAAGGTTAATTAATGCAACTGATTGCACCTAGATAGCTTCAGGGGCTCCCAGGTTTGTTTGGTTGGTTTGTTTTGTTTTGTTTTTTTTGCTTTTGTTCTCCTAAATATTTTTTTAAGTAAAAACAACAATTATTTTATCCCAAGCCCCAAGAATATATCTTGTCGACAAAAAAAAATTTTTTTAACATTACCTGCATATGAAATGGGAGTTTTGGTTACAGTCAATGGAAAATTGGCACTATTAAGGGGTCAGAAAACCATTTTTAAAAAATTAATGTCTGACTATAATGTAAAACACACTAGAAAACTCGATGGTGGAATAGACTGCCCTGTGGTAAATCCTTAGCTTTCCTAGGATTGGTGGAGATGTGATTGAATGGATCATCACCTGAACAGGTGTTTACTTACCTAGAAGGAAAGCCTGACACATCTGTGGGCGAGTCTCTTGATCAGACGAATAAGGTGAGAAGGCCCACTTTCAAAACAGGCTCCTCCATTCCCGGGACAGGGTGCTTGGGTTCTGGACTGCGTTAAAATGGAGAAGTCGGTCCGAGCGGCGGCACCCTTGGCTGTCTTCCTCCTGACTTCGGAAACAATATGACCGGCTGCTTCAGGCTCCTGCTGCCTTGACATCCCTGCATGGCGGACTGTGCCCTGGAACTGTGAGCCAAAATGAACTCTTCCTTTCTTAAACTGCTTGCCTCAGGGTAGTTTATCACAGCCAGAAACGTAACTAAGCTTGTTTCTCAAATATCCTGAGCCTATTAGCCTTACTAAAGCACCAACTGTCTTTTTCTTCTTTAGCAACATAGACAACTGCAATTATTTCTCACTAGCAGTTTTAATTCAACTGTTGCTTTCAACAGAGGCACAATAGCCATGCAAACTTGGCATGCCTATGTCTCTTCTTTTTTTAAAAAAGATGTATTTATTTATTTTATGTATGTGAGTACACTGTCACTCTCTTCAGACACACCAGAAAAGGCCATCAGATCCCATTACAGATGGTTGTGAGCCACCATGTGGTTGCTGGGAATTGAACTCAGGACCTTTGGAAGTGCAGTCAGTGCTCTTAACCTCTGAGCCATCTCTCCAGTCTGCCTATGTCTCTTCTAAGCTATTTGTAGATGGATATAAAAACAACAGCAAGAGCATACTTCTAACTTTCTATAACTCTCCCCTGAACACATTTCCTCAGAAGAGCAAGACTCTTGGGTGAGGTTCATTCTTTTCTTACCATATGTGATTATGCAGAGTTGTTATTTACTCTTTAACTCATTATTCATGTGTTTATGTGTGTATAGGTGTGGGGCACATTCGTGCCATGGCATATGTAGCTGTCAGAGAACGTCCTGTGGGAGTTCCTCTCTCCTATAGGATGATCAGGAATTGAACTTAGATCGTCAGGACTTGGCAACCTTTACTGCTCAGCCGTCTCACTGGCCTCTGAAGTTAATTGTCATTCATATACCTTGTATTAGATGAGGGTTGGAGAGAGAAGGTAGTGGAAGAGGTTTTCAAGTCTGCATATAAGCATGCTCACAAAGCATGTGCATATAATGCACAGACATACGTACATGCACAGCAGCAGGATCGGCTAGGGGAAAGGGAAGCAGGCTGGAACTCGGCCAGAGCCACCGTGCTGCTGGCTCCCCATTGCTGACCTTCTCCAGGTGACCTTCTCCAGCTTTACTGTTTTCCTTTCCTACTTACTGCGTTAGTCCCACCCATACTGGACAGTCTACTTTACTTAAAGTCACCTAGTTTTTCTCTTTAATCACGTCTGCCAAGCCCATTCATGGCACACCTACACTGAGGTTGAGTCAATATCCTAGAGAGCTTAGGCTGGCTTCTTGGGTGCACGATCAGATCAGCAAGGGCAGAACAAAAGCAGAAATGTGTTCTGGCAGAAGATGAGAAAAAGTATAAAACTAGGAAACAAGGTGAGACTCCTAATATATTACAGAATATGGCCAAGTCAGGATAATTCGGAAATAAAACAACCTAAAAGGAATAGGAGGCCCTGGGACTGCAGCTCAGTGATAGAACACTTCCTTACCCAGCCTGTCTGAGACTGGGTTCTATACCAAGTACAAAAAACAATGAAGAGGAGGAGGAGGAAGAAGAGGAAGAAGAAGAGGAGGAGGAGAAGGAAGAGGAGAATGGCAATGATGATTATAAAAACAATATAATGCAGTTACACTCTAGAGAGCTCAGAAGTAGAACCACACACGGAGAGGTGCTAGGGTGGTTGCAAAATTACCCAGAAGACTTTACACTTTCTTCCAAATCTAACTTCTCTTTTGTGATAATTACTTCAAATTTCTCTTAGGTGGCTATGTCAGTCAAATTTTACATTGCTCTAACAAGTGCCCCAGAGAGACAGCTTAAGAGAGGAAGACTTCATCTCTTGCTCACTTAGAGTTCAGAGCTCTACCCATGATTACCAGAGGCCATTGCTGTGGGCTTGAGGTCAGGCAGAATAGCATGGCACTAGTCTGAGGCTCATTTTTCTTGAAAATGTAGGAGGGGTGGGGAAGTGGAGAGAGAGAGAGAGAGAGAGAGAAGAGAGAATGAATGCACACCAGCACACCAGCCAGGGCCGGGCCAAGACCTGTCCTTTAAAGCCATACAGCTAGCAACCCATCTGTTCCACCTGAGCCCCAGCATTCACAGTTCATCATCTGTCAAGAGTCTTTTAAACTTCAGTCCATCAAAGGGTTAAACCAGTGATTAGCTCAACTCTCTTATAATCTTCTTTGGAAACACCCCAGACACACCCAGAGGCGGGGTTCACTAATCTCCCAGGAACCTCTTAATCCAATCAAGTTGACTATCAAGATTTGCCACAGTGCTGTTGCATATTTAATGAAGGGATTAATCAACCAACAGGTATTTAAGAAATGGGTGGGCCATTCTGGGCTTTCCTACATCGTGTGTCTCTGTGAACAGCTCTCTGGGGCCTCTTGGGATCCAGGTGACTGCAGCATGGATCTAACCTGCACTGCTGGTGAGTCTCCCTCCCCGCTGGTCCCTGCGGCCATGCCAAGGGCCTTCCTCCTCTGTCTCCCCAACCTTAGAAGTTTTACATCACACGTGATTATTACATTGTCTGAGAACTGGGTTTTAGTGACAGTTTGGGTGGGTAGATGAACAAGTATTTTGAATTCTTGTAACTCAGTTTACAATGACAGTTAGGGCTCTTACAAAGGAGACTTCTACTTAGACTATTAAATGTGGACACATACTTTGGGTGAAGAGAGAATGAAACACCTAAAGTTTAATTTTATGAAAACGTTTTATTCCAAAGTTCAACCTTTATACTAAATATGTCCTTGTTTCATTAATCTGCATGTTTCTCATTTCCATTACTCTCTGTACGTTTTATTGTGGAGGTCTTGTCATTTCTTGTGTTTAGTCTTTAGGATTATCATCCTTTCTATAACGCATGTTTATGCTTGTGCATGTCCTTATTGTCATGACTTAAGATTCTCCCTAAAGTAAAAATACATATTCATCATTGTATGTCTGGGCTTTCTGCATGGAGCAGACAAAGCCGGAGTTCATGCCAGGAAAGATATCCTTCACACTTCTTTGTCCATCTTCTCTTTGCTAGGCCTACTGGAAAAAGAAGCCCGGAGAAAGAGAATTATTCTAAACCAGAGTCAAAAGGACACTCTTCATGTGTGGTTTGAAAAGAATCCCAATCCTGATTTAGCTACCAGGGGACATCTGGCTAAGGAACTCGGCATCTCTGAGTCTCAAATTATGGTAGGCATTAGGCCTCTTTCTCTCTCTGAGTCAAGTTAAAGAGCAAAGCTAGGCTAAGTTCTCCTGGGCAGCTCTCGTAAGTGTGCTATATTTTGCTAAGTTTATTCTATGTGCAATGGAAAGATAAAACGGAAGCTATGCTCATGTCTTATGGAAGGAAATATTGGTGGTAAGCCTGCACAGAGAGAAAAGGAGAGCCAGCTCATGGTTTCCCCATAGGAGATAATAAAGTAATTCTCTTGAGAATTATAGAACTTAAGAAATTAAGTCATCAGCAGAGTAACATAGAACCTTTCATTGTTAGCGCCCAAGGAATAAAATCGCCATATGTCTGTGAGAAAATAGGGAAGTCAAGATCTTACGAAAACTGCTGGTTTGTAAGCTAGTCCTCTTTTTTTCTTTAATCTTTGTCCTTTATTTATTAATTAACACCTTTTAACTTATTCTGTGACAGTCTCATAAATCCTCTTTGAATTCCCTTCTCTTATTATTCTCCCAGTCCCTCTGGACCTCTTTTCTCATTTTCCTTCTTACTTTTGTCTTTTTTCCCCTCTGGGTAGCCCTGTCTATCCTGGAACTCTCTCTGTAGAGCAGGCTGGCCTCTTACTCAGAGATCCTCCTGCCTCTGCCTCCTGAGTGCCAGGATTAATGGTGTATACCAACCACTGCCTGGTTTGTTTTTGAGACAGGATCTCACTGTGTAAATCAAGCTGCTCAAGCCTCAAATTAAGAGATCCACCTGCCTCTGCCTCTGCCTCTGGAGTTCTGGGATCACAGGTGTGTACTACAGCTCTCTCTCGCTTCCTCTTTTCTTCCTTCCTCTTTTCCTCAACCCTCTTCTCTTCCCCTTCCCCTTTCTCCTTCTTTATAACCTGATAAATTTGATTAGAGCTGTTTGCCTGTGTACAGGTATGGGATTATTTACTGGATTGTGGGCCACTTTGGTTTGGCTTTTGGACTGTCCTGGTACTTATGTGCTCAGGGTTGCAGATTTGATAATAAAAGATGAACTAGAGGAGTGAAATGTATGGTTATATCACAAGGGTTGGTATTTAAACCAGTGAAGACAAACTTTTAAACCTATAGAGGTGAGAAAATGAACTCCAGTTTTTACATTTGGTGCACAGTGATTTGCTATAATGGCTTTAGTCTTCCGAAATCCTGGGGGGAAGACAATTTTCATATGTCCTGATAAACTGTCCAGGTTTGGGAGATGGTTTACACAAATAATGCTAATGAAATTGTTCTGCGTGGGCACACCTGGTGACTGGATGCCCAAGAGACTTGAACTAACGAAATTGTTTCATGTAGGCACACCTGGTGACTGGGTACCGGAGAGACTTGAACTGATGGAAAAGTTCAGAATCTTGTAGGATGTGTTGGTGGCTTCCAAGGACCTTTCTAACTACTCATTAGTTGGAAGCTTCCAGCTATTCATAAGGCTGTAATTTGAAAACTTATTTTGAATAGCGAATCTGGAAAACATGAAGAGCCTTTGAGAACAAAGCTTGGACTTGGCGATTTAAGACTGCAAGGCGTGTGCCTAACGACACAGCTGATAATGATTGCCTTTAAGGTTGTCAGTGCTAGAGTGAGTTATCAGGTCAGCCAGAGAAAATACTCACAAATAACTAAAAACAAAAACTCCACATAGCAAATAATTTTAATTATAGTAGTGAATAATTGTAGTAGTGAATATAGTTTTTTTTTTTTTTTTAGATTTTTCGAGACAGGGTTTTTTTGTGTAGTCCTGGAACTCACTCTGTAGACCAGGCTGGCCTCAAACTCAGAAATCTGCCTGCCTCTACCTCCCAAGTGCTGGGATTAAAAGCGTGTGCTACCACAGCCCGGCATGAATATAGTTTTTAAAACTTATCTTTATTATTTATTTTTAAGTGTATGTGTGTGTGTGTGTGTGTGTGGTTTTCATGTGTTCATGTGAGTACAAGTGTGGAAAGAGGCCAGAGGTGTCAGATCCCCTGGAGCTGGAGTTACAGGTAGTTGTAAGTTACCTGATATGGGTGCTGGGAATCAAACATGTGTCCTCTGGAAGACCATTATGCACTTGTACTTCTGTCAAGCCATCGCTCCAGCCAGTGATAAGTCTTAAAACTAGATGTTCACATTCGTGGGAGTCTTATTTCCGGCTTTCCCTGGAGTGAAATAATATAAGCTATAACCAGAAATTAGTATTAGCTAAACTGTTTTTTCTATTGTCAACTCTGCCTTCCCGTTTAGGGAATGATTTTCAAAGATTAAGTCCATGTGTATTGTACATTGTGAAATAATATTTGCTAAGAAGAGGAGCCTAGAAATGAGCAGTGGATACTTTACCTACTTAACAAGTAGTGTGTGTGCGTGTGCATGTGCGTGTGCGTGTGTGTGTGTGTGTGTGTCAGGGGGTTGGGAAGCAAGAGGGAGAATGAATGTAGAGATTCTTTTGTTTGTTTGTTTGTTTTGTTTTTGTTTTTGGAGACAGGGTTTCTCTGTGTAGCCCTGGCTGTCCTGGAACTCACTCTGTAGATCAGGCTGACCTCGAACTCAGAAATCCACCTGCCTCTGCCTCCCAAGTGCTGGGATTAAAGGTGTGCACCACCACCGCCCTGCAAGTGTAGAGACTCTTGTTGGTGTTTTAGATAAACATAACAATAAAAACAACAGACCGATATCTTGATATCTTCCTCTTCTGGACTTGGTGTTGAGGGCAGATGCCCAATCAGTTTGCTTGGCTGATGTTTGGAGTGATTTAAATTGAGCTGCAACCATTTCCTGTGTAACCCCTCTCCTCATTTCTTTCTCCACATAGACTTGGTTTCAAAAGCACAGAAAAATACGGAAGCAAGTAGAGTTTGCATGTTGCTCTGAAGAAAGCCAAGAGCAGGAACAGGAGAAACCTAAAGGTGAAATCCACAAGTTCAAACCAAACTTCTACATAGATTTCTTTGGAAGCGTAAGCAACTGCTTGTTGTGGAGAAATATTCTGTAGAGGGGGTCGGAGATATAAACATTATCTCGCTGGGTGTGGTAGCTGTAATCCCTACTCTGGGAGCTAGATGATCAAAAGAAAGTTCGAGGTCATCTCTGGCTATATAGAGAGTTTGAGTCTAGCCTGGGCTACAGGAATGGTCTCTTAGCAAGAAAAGCTTCCACGCTTTTATTTCCATTGTTGTTTATTATGGCTGTGTCCTGTCACCTCTGGGGTTTCATCAAGCCATTGTTTTTTATGAGCAATGTTCATTCAAAATGTTTTTTTTTTCAAGTTTAAATGTAAAAACTGACCTGCAAACCCTGTTGTGTGCCTATGTTGAATTAGTTAAAGAAGCTAGAAGGAGCAGAACGCATTTCTCAAAGTTCCAGATTGATATTCTAATTGAAGCTTTTGAGAAGAATCGATTCCCTGGAATTGTTACCAGGGAAAAACTGGCTCAAGAAACAGGCATCCCGGAATCCAGAATCCATGTATGTTGTGCATGCTCTCTGTCTCTGGCAGCCTATTTGTCCTTCCTATAAGTTGCTTCTCTCCTGAGCTGTTGCTGGACAAAGGCAGGCTATTTGTGGTTGTCCCTCTGCTCTAGACATGGGATGTAGATACTTTGTGTTGCCAGCGACAGTCTGGAGAAACAGTCACATCAGACCTGCAGAATCATAGGAAATAAGAAAGAGCAGTTCAGCGAAAGTGTGAAAGTCACTCCTGATTTGAGAACACAGTCCTTGGAAATACAGTAAACTGAGCTCCAGAGGACAAGGGTGCTGTTCTGTTAGGATGTTAGGATGTTAGTTAGCATTCAGACGCCTCTAGACATGGCATGTCTGCTTACCTAGCCCTCAGCTCACCTCTGACCATAGTCTAAGAAATCTAGAACAAAGCCTGCACAGTTCGAGAGTCCCTGTTCTGTGCGTAAGATGGAGATGGTTAAGCGTTCTTCTGAAGTGTCCTTAGATAATCCTAGTTTTGGATCAGTCATTTGTGTTTCCATGCCCTCTGGGAGTTCCACATTCTTCTTAGGAACTCCTTGGTAGGCAGAAATTCACCCTGTCTTTGAGATTGATTCCTTGATCAGTGCTGGGTATCAGATGGGCAGAGTCTAACTCTTCTACCTTTTCAAGCCATGTGCCATGGCTTACTCAATCTTGACTGTCAATTTAGTTAGCTTGAGAAACACAGAATTTTAGTCAAGCTCATCTCCAGGTGTCGGTGAGGTGAGGCATTCCCAGAGCTCCTTAGATCAGAAGAGCTCAGAGCTAATCACTGCAAAGAATCTGTTCAAAATCCAAATGGGTTATTGGGAGGTGATAGAGATGTGGAATTTGGGCTCTAATTGGAGGAAATGAAGTTCCAAGAACCTGCATTTGAAAGTTTAGCAAACATAAGAGATAGATGGAATCACTTCTGTTGTTCAGGACTCTTTGTGTGTGTGTGTTTTAGATATGGTTTCAGAACCGGAGAGCACGGCACCCAGACCCAAGTCAGAGCACTCAGGCCGCTCCTCATCCGCCCCAGAGCAGCCAGAGCCCTGCCCAGAAGACTGCTGGTCAACTCACTCCTTCCAAAGCTCTCACCAGCAGCAGTTCAATTATACTGCCTCTTTCTCCACCCCACACACCAAATGGTCCTTTGGATCTCTCTAAGGGCCGTCAGAGGCAGCTACCAGGGACCACAGTACTACAACCCTCCCAGGTTGTGCAGCAAGGGGGTGATGATCAAAATCCCTCGTTGTTTGTTGGTCACTTATCACCGGTAAAAACTCCAGGAGAGGAGAACGTCCATACTCAGCCTCCTTTAAGGCTCCTAATCCAAAAAGGAGGACATAATCCCGGTGAGAACAGTGGTCTGGCTGAACTGCCCTTACAAGATTCTACTCAGGTTCCAACTGTCAATCACCACCTCTTGAAACTGGACCAAAAAGACTCTGCCTTTCTTCAACACTGGGATGAATGGTTCCTATCCATGCTTGCTGAATGGGTGCCTGACAAAGAATACTGGTCTGAGAAAAGTGAGCTGCATCCCTGACAGGTGCAGAGTGTGTCTCATCAAGCAGACCAAACTCCAAAGCAGTAGGTTTAAGCCTCAAGCCTTTTCCGTTACTTCCTCCTGAACACTGATTTTCAGCAAAGGATCTCTTCTTTCTGCAGTCCCCACGTGTATTCCTGTGCATGGCTTGGAGAGCTTCTCAGTAGAGTTTCAGGTTTTCCTTCACATGGGGAGAAGTATACCAGTAACTCAGATTCGGGAGAACCTACCCTTGGGCATGAAGTCAGTGGATGTATTGAAGAATAGGTATGCAGAATTATGGAACAAGTTCAAGTTAGCATGTGCATAAACCACATGGACACACAAAGGGAGCAATTATTTTTATTCTTAATTTATTCTTGAGATCTGATCTTGCTGATATTTTGGCTGGTCTTGAGCTCCTGGTCTTAAGTCAGTCCCCTGCCTCAGCTTCTTAAATAGTCGGCACTACAAATATATCCCTCTGTGTCCATCTTGGTTTTAATTTTAATTATGGTTTTAAAAAATATTTCACAGTTTCATTTACCATCGGTTATGTTTTGAACCTGAAGTGTCTCTCACAAGTTCATGTTTTGAAATCTTGCCTCTCAGCCGATGCTGCTGTTTGAATCTGTGAAGTTTTTAGGTGGCTCCTAACCAGAAGATGTAGGCCAGGGTGGTACCTTGAAAGTTATACCCATCATGTGAACAGCATACACCACATGTTCCTGATGTGTAGACAGGCTCACATCACCATGCCTCTCTGTGACAAAGGACTAAAACACTCTGAAAAGAATCCAAATAAACACTCTTTTGTCAAATTGCTTCTGGTAGATATTTTGATCACAGTGACTTAAAGTAACTAATACTTACTGGTTACCAGCCTAACATTCACTCAGTGTGTGCTACAGTAGCGCTAACGAGATGCTCATTCCTGCCTGGCATGAAACTCCATAGTCACTTGAACAACCATAACAGTGCCACAGATGGAACGTCCCAAGTCACAGAAAATGTATATTTTCACATCGGTAGAGGGCAGAAGCCCAGTCGGCAGGCGCCTGAGTTCTTGGGGCTCTTTCCTGCTTGGGTATGTCTGAGTTCTTAGTCTCATTTATCTGTCACATCTGCTGTCTCTCCTTGGCTTTTAAGGGTCCTACACAAATGAGCTCTCTTAACATTGATCACGTATTTGAAGAGCTTATCTGTAGGTACAGCCCCTTTGCTGTTAAAACTTCAGCATACGCTTGGCCCGTACTGAACACTACAGAACACTGTAACCTCCTGTTTTCTCTTTCCTTACCCTTTGCTAACCACAATTCTATTATGTGTATGTAGTGGGGGCTGCAGGGGGTGGGGGCCAGAGACCAAAGTCCAGTGCCTTCCTTTACCTCCAAATAGAGAAATTGTTCTCTATTTTCAAAAGATATGTATGCATGCATGCATGCATGTATGTATGTATGTATGTATATGTGTCTGGGTGGCCGTGGTTATGGTCTCATGAGGGCAGATGCCTGAGTTTTAGATGCTCTGAGTCTAGAATTGTGAGCCGCCTGACAAGATGTTGGAACCAAACTCAAGTTCTGTGGAAGAAGAATATTTGCTCTTAACCACTGAACCACCTCCCCAGACCATCCACCTTATTTTGTGAGACAGGGTCTCTTGCTGAACCTGGAGCTTGCTGGTTGAGAAACTGGCCTGTAGGTAGCTCCAGGGATCTTCCTGACTCTGGTCTCCAGTCCTAGAATTACAGGTGCTTCACCACCTGGCTTTTTACCATAGGTTCTGGAGATCCAAAGCTGGGACCTCATGCTTGCATAGCGAGCATTTTACTGAGGGACCCAACTCCTCAGCCCCACCGCTTGCTGCCTCTGAGTCTAACTACTCTAGCTACCTTGGGTAGGTAGATTTGCACAATATTTGCCTTTGTAGATGGCTTACTTTTATTGTCATAATGTCTTCAAGGTGTATTATTTTTGGCTTGTGTTAGGATTTTCTTTTTTTGAGGATAAATAATTTACATTATATGTGTATCCCACATTTTGTCCCCCACCAATGGCATTGGGGTAGCTCCTACCTTTTAGACATCGGAAATGATGTCACAGTGAATGACAGCGTGCAGATACCATTGGGATCCAATTCTTTTGCATACTATATAAAGACCATCTTTCCAAGTGATTCTAGGCTGGGTCATGTTGATGGTCAATACCAGTTTCATAGCTGGATCTTATGATGTCTAGTTAAGCTGTTATACTAGTCTCCGTAGTGATTATCCCTTTCCACTTCCAACAAAGCAGAGGATCATTTGTTTACATCCTCACCCATGCCTCTTAGTTCTTGTTGCTTTGACAGTAGCTGTTCTAACGTGTGAGAGGTGGTAACTCATCTCTGATGTAACCTAGGGTTCTGTAATGGTGCCATTTATCTCTCTATGTGGCTACTCAGATTTGCTCACTACTTAAGGAGGTATTTGTTGAACTCTAAATGCTTTTAAAAATATGCTCTTTTATTATTTATTTATTTTATGTGTAAGTGGTTTGCCTTCATACATGTATGTGCACTGGTGTCTTCATGAGATCCTCTGAAACTGCAGTTATAGATGGCTGTGAGCCATCATGTGGGTGCTGGGAACAGAACCTGGAAACGTTACAAAAACAGTGAGTGCTCTTAACCATGGAGCCATCTCTTAAGTCTCCCTAACATTATTTTCTTTATATTATTAGCCTTGTTTAAGATACGATTTGCAAACATTTTCTACCATTCCATAACTTTGCTTTTTCTCTATGCTGTGTGCTTTGAGGGACATGAATTTTAACTATGTGCCTATGCATTCATCCTTGTTGGAGATTGAAACCAGAGTCTTGTACATGTTAAGTGTATACCCTATGGCCAATACAGCCCCTCAGCCAGAGTTTTTTTTTTGTTGTTGTTTTTTGTTTTGTTTTTTTGTTTTTTTTGGTTTTTTTTGTTTGTTTTCTTTGTTTTTTGAGACAGGGTTTCTCTGTATAGCCCTGGCTGTCCTGGAACTCACTCTGTAGACCAGGCTGACCTCGAACTCAGAAATCCACCTGCCTCTGCCTCCCAAGTGCTGGGATTAAAGGTGTGCGCCACCACTGCCCGGCTAGCCCAGAGTTTTGAAGTAGTCTCATCTGTCTGTCTTGTTTTTTTTTTTTAATATTTGTATTGCCTATACTTCAAAACCACGAACCAAAACAGTGTCATGAATCTTCTTTTTCTAGTGAAAGCACTAGAGTTGCAAAGTTAGATTGTTGACTTGAGGTCTTTTCTTTTTACATGTGATTTATAAACAAATGTGCACACACATATGATCGTGGCACATATACACAAAACAATAGTGACACACAAAGATGAGTTTGAGGGTGTTTCTATTACATGCTGACTTTTAAAAATGTGTGCCGTCACGTGCCTGCGTGTCTGCGTGCCTGCATAGGTTAGGAGTTGGTTCTGTTTCCTACTTTGGGTCATGGGGATTGAACTGAGGTGATCAAGTTTCCATAGCAACTGCTTTTACTTGATGAGTCATCTTTCTATATGCTGACCTTGAGACTTTTAGTTTATTTATTTATTTAATGTATGTGACTGCTCTATCTCCATATATGCCTACATGTCAGAAGAGAGTATCAGGTCCCATCACAGATGGTTGTGAGCCACTGTATGGTTGCTGGGAATTGAACTCAGGACCTGTGGAAGCAGAGTCAGTGCTCTTAACTGCTGAGCCATTTGCTCTTCTTCATGATCATCTCTGACTGAGATGAGGTGCAATCTCAATGCAGTTCTGGCTTGTGTTTCTTTAATGACTTGTCAACTCTTGCTATTCTGTCTGGAGCTTTTAGAGTCCACTTCAGAAAGTCCTTGCTTATGTCTTCATGGCTTCAGCTGTCTTTTCTCTGCTTGCTTCCTTGCAGTTAATAGCTTCAAAAAATTTTTTTTTAATTTAAAAAACAAATTTGTTTGTTTGTTTGTTTTCGAGACAGGGTTTCTCTGTGTAGCCCTGGCTGTCCTGGAACTCACTCTGTAGACCAGGCTGTCCTCGAACTCAGAAATCTACCTGCCTCTGCCTCCCAAGTGCTGGTATTAAAGGTGTGTGCCACCACTGCCTGGCTTGCTTTCTTTCTTTCTTTCTTTCTTTCTTTCTTTCTTTCTTTCTTTCTTTCTGTAACCAGCCAGTCTGAGGTGTGAGTGTTTAGAAAAAAAATTAAAACTTAATAATTACTTAATTAGTTACCTAGTATTACCATTAGTGTATATGTGTGTATGCATGAGTGTGTGTGCATGTGTGCATATGCATGCATGTGGGTGTGTACACACTCACACACGTGTGTATGAAGACCAGAGGAGAACCTGCAAGAGTCAGTTCTTTTCTTCCATTGAGGGATCAGGGATGGAACTCAGGTCGTCAGGTGTACACAGTGAGCGCCTTTACCCACTGAGCCATCTTGCTCATCCAATCTGCGTGTTTTAAGGAAAGTGTTACGGCTGTCTGAATTTGAGGCTGTTATGGGAGGCAAGTGTGAATTCTTGTGATTTTGTTGGCTTAGTTGCTGACTGAATTGAATACCCCTATTTTTTTTTTCCTTTTTCCTATACTCACCTTAGTGACATCCTGGTCTGATTAGTTAATAATGCTTGGTTGTTTCATGTTTAAGAAACATTTTGTTAGTGTATATTGACTGTTTAAAGTAATGGGATTCATTATTGATTTTTTTTTTCAGAAATTGGTCATGTGCTTCCCTGTTATCGTTATGTGATTTATTATTTCCCAATTTCTTATGATTGTGATTGATTTTCTTCTGAATTGTGTGTAGAATTATTTTAAGTATCTTTGGCACTGCTGGCTTAATGGTCATGAATTGCTTTAGTTTGTACTTTTCTAGGAGAGTCTTTATTCTCCATCAGTTCTAAGGATAGCTGGATGCATGCACACACACACACACACACACACACACACAGAGAGAGAGAGAGAGAGAGAGAGAGAGAGAGAGAGAGAGAGAGAGAATGTTTCA